GTGCAGTCTGCTATTTTGGCTAATTTCTTAGAGCTGGCACTTAAGTACTCGTAAGGCTACATTGATCTAGTTATTCTGAGGCCGGTCAACATATAAACATCGGCCAAAGTAATGGTCATCGGGCTGTGGCCAAAGATGAAAGCGTTCAGAGCATTGGACCAAAAATAGGATGCAGCAATCAGAAGTGAGTCGTTCTTCTCCATCCGAGACAATGAAAGAGTCAAGCATTGATTCAGATCATAAAGCTTCCAATCTCCACCCTTTTTCTCGGACACCCTACGGAACCAATTTCTCCATCCCTTAGGCATCCTTGGCTAATTTCTGAAAAAGTTTTGGTATTCCAAGAGGACAAATCCACTGCAGATTGTTTGAAGGGAATTTGATTGGTTTCTTAACGGATGAAATCAGATGGATCGGGATCACCCATAGGCCCAAGAAAATAGATATTAGGGGAAACGGCTGATAGAATCAAGATTTCATTCCTCATTTCCTAAAAATCGGGCGGAATAAGTTTGAGAAGAAATACAAGATGGCGACTGATAATTGGATAATGGGGACTTGGAGACATACCTCAGGGACATGGTCGATGGTCGCCATCACGGTCAAAAAACTGGTTTGAATCTGGCAAGGATCGTTTGGATGACGGCTCGTCGGGACAAGTGGTTTGCTAGGGTTTGGGGCCTTGGCGATGATGGTGTCGGCTGTTAAAGTTATCTTGAGGAAGAAAGAGAAAGCGAACAGGCCAAGTGGGTTGCGAAAATACTGTTGGGGTGTTATATAAAACTCGGGCCAGAAAGTCAGGAGTCACGCGTACAGTACAGCTGCGGCATGGTAGACCAACGAACTGGAATTTTGGGATAAAATCATTTTATCCCAAAATTGGGGGGCATGTGTTTACACCAAAATTTGGGAGAAGAGCGCGGGAACTCGTAGGCTTCCAGAATTATGCCAATCAAAGAGTCGATGGAGTAAAGGTTGAGATCTGCTGGATCGAATGTAACACTGGGTCGATTCTTTCTGAATGACGTCAGCAGATGACGATGATGGAATATGATTGGCGTCAAAAAAAAAGATATATATCGGACTCTACAAAAGGGGAAATATTAGAGTCCAAGTTATCTTAAGATAGGAATATTTCTTCCATACCAAAGATTGTAACAAATCATGCTCGAGTAGGATTCATGTCTAGACTCCGAGTATAAATATCAAACCCCGGCTATTGTAAGAAAGACACAATCAATCAAATACAAGTCAATTTACTTTTTTCGGCTCTGGCCACCCCTTAGGAGTAGGAGTAGAGTAGATCTCGACGAGTTCTTCAGCGAGTACGGCTGCATCGATCTGGTCGACCTCCACTGCTTGTCTGTAAGTACCGTCATGGTTTATACCTCTGTTCGTATGGCTACATCGATCCGGTCGACCCCCACTACGACTCTGGTATAGGCTAGTTATCGACTCTTGTCTAATTCAAGTATGGCCTATGTGATTCTGCCTCACACCCCACTGCTTGAATTAGATCAAGGTCAAGTTATCGGCTCTATCTTAGTATGGCAGTCTTTGGTAGATTCATTAAGTTACCGATATTGCTTATTGCTTTCATTGTTTATCTAATTACAGCAATATCACTCTGCCCGATTGAGATTGATCTAGATTGGCCTTATATCTTATTTAACCCATCGTTTGCTAATTTATAACTGATCTAATCCATATTTTAAACGATGAATTATGTTTTTATCGGCTGTTTTGTATCAATCTTAATCGTGCATAGCGTGTCGTTAAGGCATGTCTGATCTTGAGTAGACCCATCGACTATTTAGTCGATCTCCTCTCATATCGGCTCTCAGAGCCGCACATTCGGGACTGTCTGGCAACACCAGCACGTTCCGCCCTTAATTACTGATGAACTTTCTCCCCTTGTCAATTACAGGGTCAAATTGACTGGCACGTCTCGGGAGGATTGCGCAGGATCGACCACCCTTGCGCTGAAGCTAGGCGGATCTGCTCCATCGAGCGGACTCTTCCGGCTTGCTGCGTGTGTCCTCGGCATCGGGACGAAATTCTGTGTTGACAGGACCGGTCGAACGGACCCAAGAACTATATGGATTGGTCGCCAAGAATCTAGAGTCGGTCACCAGTTGACCCATGTCGGATCCCCATGAACGGGAAGCCAAGGCCCCACTCGGACTAGCCCGTTAACAGCTCACCGAGCACCATGATTCGTCCATCGAGAAAAACATGGCACGGCTTAGCCTCTTCTTTTTATAAAAAAAACCTTGAGGGAGGACGATCACAAGACGAGCTGACCCCTCGACCGGACCCCTGCTATGCGCGGGGGCTCAAGAGAAGTTGGACTCGTAAGGAGACCGAATACGCGGTCGCATGACGATGGCGGATCGATCAGATTCTAGGGAGGGATCGGAATCAAGAGAAATCTTTTCTGGCCCCCCGAATCCCGCAACTACATGTTCCCAAGGAGTCCGATCGCGATAGAAGGGAATCGTAACCCTACCAAAACACCCCGTGGGCTACGAAGGGAGACCGAGGCCCTCAGAGTCCTCCCGCCTGAAAAAAAGCCTCCAAAGGAGTATTCTACTCCTCCGTAGGCTCGGGGGCTATTGTTGGGTATCGATATTAGGGATACCCAGAGGAAGTTAACAGCCACGAACGTTAATTCGCCCGGATGGTCCAAGACGTATTTAAGGTCTCGCCCAACCCTGAGGGCGCGGGCTCCATCTCGCCCGACCCCGAGGGCGCGGGTCCCGTCTCTCCAGACCCTAAGGGCGCGGGCCCCGTCTCGCTAGACCCCAAGGGCGCGGGCTCTGTCTCGCCCGACCCCGAGGGCGCGGGCTCCGTCTTGCTAGAACCCTCGGGCGTGGGTTCCGTCTCGCCCGACAGGGATCCATACCGCCTCCAACCACTACGGGTCTAAGAGTACGACCCCAGGGTCAAACTTCTGACACCGGGAGGGAAGCGGGCACGTCTCGACGTGACCTGTGGCCACGACGGACCATACCTGGGGCTCACGTCGCCAACAGTGTCGGGTGTGCCGCGCTGTGTTGCCTAATCCCCGTACGGCTTCTGACAGGAGTACCTATTGGCCACGCCGCCCGCCGAAACGGAGTGGAGCTCCACGACCGGCTGACGACACCTGCGTATGGCGCCAGTGACGAACAGGGCCACGACGTGGAGCCATCCCCGTCATCATCTACAGGACCGGCAGGACCCTCATAAAAGAGATGAAGGACGCCGCGACCCTAGAGGCCTTCTTCTCCCTCGCTTTTCTTCTTTTCTCTCTGTTTCTCTCTATGTAACATGCGCCTTCCCCTTCACCTATAAAAGGGGAAGCATGACGCCCTATGAAGGGCACGGCTGAACGAGCTCAACAAGACTCAATTTCGTTCGATCTTTTCACCAGAGACTTGGGACCTTCTCCCTCTCTCGCCCGTTTGTAACCCCTACTTAAACTGTGCCGGTAACACGAGCAGTAGCAGACTGGACGTAGGGACATTCCGTCTGAACCAGCATAAATCCTTGTGTTCTCCGAGCACACTATCCGGACCAGACGCGCAGATACAAATTTACTAGCTAGTGGTTAAAACACGGACACAAGGTATGATTCTAGTTTACAATGTGGCATAGACCATACTGTGCGGACAAATTTGCAATCCTTAACCTCGGAGTTCACCCATTTGTCACACTTAGAGCATCTCCAATAATTTCTAAAAGTCCACTTTGGTAAATTAATGAGTTCTCTAAGTGACTAAAAAAAGTTGGTAGCAGATTTGTCGGCTTTCTCCAACCTTTTTTTTTAAAAAAATTGCTCCTAAAAGATATAAGGTAATTTTGCATCAGGAATCCCAGACTATTTCTAAACCACCCTGTTGTTTTTGTATATATATATATATATATGCACGATTAGCTCGATCAGGAATTGTTGGTAAGCAGTTTTTTCAATCTTGCCAAAAAAAATCAAGATTGAGGCCATGTTTGTTTGTCTTATAATCCGTATTTTTCAGCTTGTTTTTTCAGCCGGAACAGTATTTTTCTCTCACAATAAATTAGCCGGGACAATATTTCGACTTGTTTTTTCAGCGAAGCGAACGGAGCCTAAAAGTGGATTTTAGAAAATCTTGGAGATGCTAGCACCTCTAAGAGTTCTCAAAACACACTTCCAATCTATGGTTTTTGGCAAATTGAAAAAAAACGTCTCCAACAACTCTCAACCTAGCTCACAATCTTTTGCCACTTAAAAAAAAACTGACCCCCACATGCGGAAAAATACGCGCACAGAGTAGTACCGAACCGGGCGTGAACTTCTATAATTTAGATGTTCTTTGGACATGGGTTTCCATACATTCCCAGGTCCATATGCCGCATTGCAGGTTATTTGCACCGCGTAATGAGATAACGAGCTCTTGTTTTTCGTAAAACCTCCAAAATTATATTTGGAAAACTTGATAAAGTACAAAATCGACTGGCAGTGACAGATGAAAGAAATGTCTGTATTCACCACGATGATTATTGACCTTCCTCCCGACCAGTATCCATTTTCCATACAGCAAGGGAGTATCCTTCAGTGCACAAATTGGATAATTACAGAAGATCCTTCTTACCAGGAACTAAGGGAATATACAACTTCTTGAGCTTTGAAAAGATCTTGATCCACACACCACAATTCGCAAGCTCATCGCAACAGAACAAGCTGAACTCTGGCAAAATTCAATTCATGCAGCTCATCTCAACAGAACAAGCCGAATTCAGGCAAAACATAGACGAAGTCTCTGTTGCTCCGCTGACAGAGCACCTACTTAGCAACATTTTGGTATATCTCAAATTCTGATTAGATGTTTGCAAGCTGGATCTATGATCACAGAAGGAATCTTTGGTATGTACAACTTGTCAGTTCGATCAACTCACATGTATACCTTCTTGGTGAAAAACTAGAGACGTTTTCCTCAACCAGAACAATTCATCTTTGGACAATCATGCAACTATTGAGATCACCAATCCTGGATCCACTCTGGGGCAGTAAGAGCATCTGGGTCTTTAATCGGCACAGAAGTAGATGCTGATAAGTCCTCGTTAAGAGTTTCTATACAGCTGTTGACGCGCTCAGTGATTTCTTCAGGTACTGCACAAGTCCCAGATGTTATTCGCTCCCAATCAATGCCATCAAACCAGGGGTGTTTCTTTACAGCTTCAGCACCACTTGTTCCAAGGCGCGTGTTTTCGTCTACCACAAGTAGCTGTTAACATAGTATAAATGAAAATAAGTAGAGCTGCTGTAAAAAGTCCGAATAAGCTGAAAATAAATGGATAGGTGAATTATCATTTTCAGACAGGATATTACCTTGGTTACAAGGTCAACAACTTCAGCACTGAATGACACTGGCATAACAAGGTGGCCTTTGGCAATTTTTGTAATAGGTTCCAGCTCGCTCTCCCTCCAGGACCCGAATGGCATGTCTGACTGAAGCATGAAATAGATCAAAACTCCAAGTGCCCACCTGATCATACAAAATCAAAGGGACCTGTCATAATTTCCACTCAAGTCTTCCGTGTCCGAAAAAGAAAACTCAAGTATTGTACTGTCACTCTGTCAGCTCAAATTATGTTATTTTTTATTTTTGGAGTGGATACCTCTCCACTTATTTTTGTTAAGAGGGTTTCTACTGCAGTTTGCATGTTTGAGTCTCTTCTGAGAATGTCAGGTAGATGAAATATGCCAAGATTTGGACATGTAACTTGTAAAAGAAATGACAATATCTGTAGAACAAACAGTATTTCAATGTTTGCGCATCTGTAAAAAATGCTATGCATTGCAGACAGTATTGTTCCATATATCCTTTCAAAAAAAATATTGTTCCATATACAGAGGCCACAAGGAAAAATGGCATTTTCATTGTTTGCATACAAAACTGATAGGAAATACTGAAGGCTGCTTTAAAATTCCTAGAGCCACATTAGAAAGATCAGTGGTAACCATAACTTTGTCTTTAATAAGAACTCAGACAAATACATGATACAGTGATATGGAATGCTTATAAACGAAAGGGGTCAATAACCACTTACCAGTCAGCAGCAAATCCATGGCCCCTACCAAGAACAATCTCTGGTGCCAGAGAGTCAGCAATCCCACATATTGTGTAGGTCCTTTGACCTTCCAACTTCTTTGCAAACCTAAAATCTACCAGCTGCAGATGTCCTGATCTATCGAGCATAAGAATGTCTGCCGAAATACCTCTATAAATAATGGACTTCTGAAAATGCATAAATACATATCAACATGCATGTAACACATTGCGGAATAACTCAATAAAAGAATCCGAGAATATATAATGTTTCATGTGCCAATGACACAATAAAGGAAAGCAAAACAGTAATCACCTGATGAAGTTCTTCTAGAGCAACAACAACTGAGGCTGCAAAGAATTTTGCAGATGACTCATTTAGTGGTGTATGAAGTATTGAAGCCAATGAGCAACAAAGGCAACAATTCAGCAATATTCCAAGGTATGACTGATCAGCGCAAGTGGACAGAACTTCTGGCACACAAGTTGATTTGCTCAAGCTTTTCATAAGGTCCTTTTCCTCAAAGACTTGTACTTCCTTATGGAGATCTTGTACTCTCTTGATGTAAAACCTTTTTAAACTTCTGATCTTGTCTGGTCCATGGTTAAAACAGGAAACAAAATCAAAACATGATTAACTAAAACATAGGTGTGTCTATGAGGGAAATTAATTATCTTATAATAAAAATCAATATAATCAGGCAGAATCCATTAACATACCAGAGCCCCTAACTTGGACGAGACCAATCTCACTGCAATCAGCAGCATATATGCACATTTTCCATTCCTGAGAAACATATATACAACTGAGTATCAGTATAAAAGAATCCCAACAAGATCTCCTAAAGCATGCTAGATGAGAAGAAAGGGGTACTAACCCCCTACCAAATCTGAGAGCTTCACCCTCCTAAAAGGAAAATCACCATCTGCAAGATTCTCCTCAGTTACCAGAGAGTCTTTAATCCTGAAAATAAGCCAACCAAGATAAGTTTGATAATTGACAAGCATCTGGTGGTTACCAACACACACGAAAAAAAGATGTTCCAGACACATTACTTGGATTCAACTTGTGGAAGTTTAGGCAAAGGCCCAACAATTGAATCAAATTTCTCCTTCGTGATAGTAGAACAAGTAACATCACCAACAGCAATAGCAGTGAAAGCAATAGTCTCACCAATGAGAGACCACTCTCCGAAGTGCCCTCCCTCATCTATCTCAACCACATAATTACCATTTTCCCGACTACTTTGTGCCTGCTTTGTTTGAGCACTGATGAGATCCCAGGTATCTGAAGTCATTTGACCAGTAGCCAATATAAGTCTCACACGACCTCTTTGAATAACATATAGCAAAGAGACGTCATCATTCTGAAAAACGGTAGAGATGAGTGAAAACTTGTTATTAGCAGGCTGATAACCAAAAAAGAAGTGCATATGAAAAGGAGATATCAAGCAACTGTTTTCCAACTCCAAGTACCTTATCTACTATTTTTTGCCCATCTGCAAATGATACTTCAACAAGCGACTCAGCAAGTTGACTTAGTTGAAGCACTGTAAATCTTGTAAACAGTTCTACAGATCGGAGCAACTTCAATGATGGTATGTTTGAAAATTCTGACATCAAAATACCCCGGAAGTCCTCCCGCTTTAGAGCCCATAATGTTCCACTGGTCACAGCACGAACTGAAGCCTGAAGTGGCTTATTGTGCCTGTTATGCCAGAAGTAAATGATGATTAAATGAATCAAACAGTGAGTGGCATGTTTATCCATCTGAACTTAATCAATTTATTCCATTATATCAAGTCATGGCATGATAGGTTTCAGAACTCAGATTCTAGACAAACAATAGTATGCTCTCTTTACTAATTTACATGAGTTAGATGTTGGTCAATAGTATCAGAGTCAAATAAGAGTTTTTATGAGGGTAGCTTGCAATATTTAGACACTATAAGTTAATGTTGTGAACTCCAGAGGAACACACATAATTATTTCCCAAATTTCTACAAATGCTAGTGGCCTCTTTAAAAGAATTTGAGTGGTCAGTTTATGAATTTCTATTTCTAAGAACTTGCACATACCGCAGCGGTAGCGAAGCATGAGTGCAAGCTACAGGTCAGGAGTTTAACTCCCCGTACTCACCAAAAGTATGGCCACTCACAACCGTCTATTTCGGTGAAATGCACGGTCCACTGACGGTTGCAGCATGATATGCGGCTGTCGGCGCATCCTTGCCATTAGAGGCATGTCCTGGATAGCCAGGGTTCATAGCCTTTTCTTGACCCTGCGCATGAGGAACTTCTACCTTTCCAATTTCCATCAATGCCTCAGGGATCGAGTTTTTTTTTGGTGGAATATCTATTTCTTGAATTTTGGTGTGGTGAATGCAGAAAGCAGGGCTGATCCCCTCAAAAGTTTTTACGAGGAAATAATGCAAATGCCTGATTTGTACTGTGTATTTTTTTAAAAAAAGATAAACAGTAATGAACAAGCGTAACAAATACAAATCTCACATCAGTGCTAGCTCCCCAAAGGAAGATAACTTGTCAGCTGTATACCGATGCAGAACCTTGGTTATTTCCTTTCCATTTTCTTCCTGTTCCATGTAAATCAGCTTAGTCTTTGACATTTGCGCAGTAAAGATCAGCAAAAATATGGATTTTATGAACTACTTGGCTTTGTTAAAACACATGATCAGAATAAGTTCGAAATGCATTCAATGTAAGGCAGTGACCAAAGCTCTGGTGCTTTCCCTTTGAGTGTGTTTTGCACATCAACTATAGACAAACAACTTTATATAACCTCAATACTACATGACTCTTTGAATCGATGGATACATGAGAAAGTTACTAAATCCATTTTAACCATAAAGGTGCTCCTCTTTTAGTGCTGCTTATCTTAGATAAGATCCTTCTGCACAAGAACCCGTGGTTCATCCTATTGGTCTCTAATTCCTAACAGCTGAGTTTTAATAGCATAAAAACTCAATCCGAAATCAAATGTACATGTGGCATATATTTGATTTGAAATATATACCTGAATAGCCAGAACTTCATACTCACCACTACCAACTACATAGAAGCAGTCACCTTCGCCGCCCTGCATCACACAATATCCTTATTCAAAACTTATTAACTTATAAGCAACCTAAAAAAGCAATCACATTTGAGCTCACAAACATAGAAAGGAGATAACCTGCTGTACTACTATATCCCCAGGTTTCACCTCAACTCGTTGCATACAATCAAGTAGAACATGACATTGTGAGTCAGTAAGCTTCCTAAACAGGAAATGATCATGTAGTACCCGCTCAATATGCGCCTTCATATCAAGTTGTTTGAGGTTTTTCAGTTATAAGACATTAAGAAACTTCTGAAGTAAAGAGAAAGTTCAATAGTGACAAAATTGGTAGACCTTACTTGCTCTTCCCATGTCTTCCGATGCGATGGAGATGGAGGGACCCATAATTGACCATTCTCCAGAGAACTTTCAAGAGCCCTCAATCGTGCCCGTGATAAATCATGCCTCGAGCGCTGATTATTGGTGTTGGAACTTACTATTAGTGGTGATTCAGAGCCTGCCAGTTCTACTACTTGCTGTGAAGGTTGTAAAGTCACCTTCGTAACAGTCTGGGTAGATTCCTCCAAGTAAGACAGTGAGAGTAGACATGTCAGGTTTCTTCAGGGAATTTGATGAAACAATTGATATGGAAACAATGCAAAAGAAAAAAAATAATTCCATACATCAGTTAACCCATTAATATGCACAACTATGATTGTAATGTCATCTGTACGAGTTTCATACTGTAGCCAAAGACGATAGGACTCCGCAACAATTTCTGCACATGCATCTCGAGGATCCTTGTATTTAGAAATCTGCAATTCACCATGTTAGAGTAGAAACCTCACATTAAAATACTGACTTAACACTCATTAGAATTGAATCCTTGAGTTAACCCATTAATCTGCAAATTCACTTTAGTCCTTATGTAATTTAACACTTCATTATTGATTTTTTTATGGTGAAAAGATTTAATTCTTTACTTTAAACCAATAACAATATAGTTTACTGAGACTCCTAAAATGTGGGATACAGACAATTCCATAGAAAGACAAAACAGACTTTTTTTGGGGCGGGGAGCTCATATCACTGGGAGTACAGTTAATTTTCTCTGAGTTGGCATGGCATCAAGACATTTCCTTGAGCTGAGTGGTAACTTCATGGTAGAAACTATTCTAATTGAATAGGAAGGATTTCATATCTAATGTATCTTTATGCTGTGTGACTGCAGCGAATCACTTGGGATATAGAGTGTGCCTATGCACCCAAATTGTGAATTATGCAAACAATGATATTGTTAAGGTGATGGATATAACTTACCATGTCGACAACTGTTTGACTGGAAAGGAACTCAAAAACACCATCACTAGCAAGAACGAAAAATGGATTGTTGGAATTGAGATCCAGGACAAAAATCTCAGGATCTGCGATGACACCAATTGACTCAGCAACAGAATCTCCAATGCTACGTGTAAAAGCAGTTCCTGGGTACATGCCATTTTGCACCCATAACCTTGGAGGATCGCCATCATCACTTTCTTCAGTACCCCAACACTGCACATCTGGGTTCTTTAGGCCCTCTATTTGGTCCAACGTTAGAACCCTAGCACCACATTCCTTGACCCTTTCAAGTTCATCAAATCGGTACGGGGTTTGATCTACGGAGAGGTCAACAGCGACAATATCATCCCCTCGTTTTTCAGCAATAACTGCACGTGAATCGCCGGTATTCGCAACATAGATAGTTTTACCCCTGACCAATATAGTGACTGCAGTAGTACCACTCATGGAGTCATCCAAGTTGTCGGCATGCAACTGTGAGTTCGTTGCCACAAAAGAAGAATGAAGAGCCAGCACAGCATCTGTACGAAACCGGTTATCTCTGAGCAGGTTCTCGCATAATCTTCGCTTCACAAATTGTGAGCATTGAGCTCCATATTCCCCATGGCCATCAAACACACCAAAGAAGTGGTCATCAGGACTTGGTCCAAATGGGGTATGTATGCAGTAGCTATCTTGATTTGCCTTGTCCAGTGATTCTGGGTAATAACCTCTTTGAGACAGGAAGGAGTATCTCAGGTCATAGTTACCCAAAGGGACCTGAACCTTGCGTGACCCATCAGGGGGAAGAAACTGTGACGAGACCCTCGATAATTGGCTGATGCCGACAGTTGATTCCCTTGTAGCATTCATATGGTTACAAGCATCGTCATCTTCCCCGAGGTCATCAGAAGAATCATCTGAACCACTAGAATCTGCCTTCCGTCTCCCCCGACTTGACTTTCCCCTTGATTCTCTCGGGGAGTCAGGTGCCTGTCCCAGGCACCCATTGGAGCACAAAGAGCACTTCAGTTGTGAACAACACTTGGAAGCTGAACAGCCCATGAATCAGATGTAAAAGCAGCTTTCCTCAGACCACGATATCACGAGGCAACATGAGCCATAAAAGATCCTCCACTGTATAATGAATAGTCCAAGGGCATGAACCAAGAGCCCCGAGTTGAGGATGAACTCAGAATTTAAAGAATCTGAGGAACTTGAGCAGCCATTCGCATCACCGGCGCTTATTTTGGTTGAATATCAGAACATATCTTTGATAGTTTAACCATCAAATTGGATGGAGTTGACTGGAATCCGTCTAATGCCAACCTAAAAGAAAACAAAATGCCTAGCTAGTCAACAATGACCGGACAAAGTCCGTCAGAAATAAAATCAACATACATATGCGGGGGTATGCCTACCTAGTCACTGAGAGAATTTATGCAAACCAGTTATTGAGACGGAAAGTGTAGAGCATATGCATATTTAACACAGGAAGCTTTCTGTTATGCAACATACTTAGTCGACATCTTAATAAGCATAATTCTCGTAGCTCTGAACTATATGAACTCCAAGAAAATGGTGTAAGTCATGAACATGAATGCTACACAAAAGCAAAAGGATGATCATTGCTGAACCTACAAACATTTTGCATATAGTTCTGCCAAGATTTGGACAAACGGAAAAGGGCACTGTAGGTGGAGCCCCTTGAGCAAAAAGATACTATACAGTTCCCTGTTGTGTAAGATCTTTGCACAGCTGCGTACAAGCCAGAAATGTCGAACAATCACTACCAAAAGAGGAAGAAGTAAATGTTCAACGGCATGAGCCTGGATTAAAAAAAAAAACCGGCATGGAACATCCCAATTTCTCTAGTCCTGACAGCTCTGTACTTGAAGTTCAAGAATCGCATAAAAGACGAATAAGGGAGAAAAATAAAAGAGAGTGTCAGCCATGACTTACGGCAGCAGAGATGACAAAGGAGTAGCAGAGCACAAGCAGCAGCATATGCGGCTGCCAGCGGCGGCAGCCTGGGGAGAAGAATGGATAGAAACGGAGGAAGAAGTGGGGAATTTTTATGAGGTGGGTAGAGCAAGCAAGCAGTGGCGGAGAAAGAGAAAGGGAGACGAAGAGAGGAGGTGGTGGGTGGTGGCAGCAGAGTAGCCGCTAGCTAGGCTGCAAGGTGAGGGGAAGGAATCGGTGATGAGCATTAATACAGCTACAGAGGAAAGCGATCGAGGCAAAGACGCGAGCGTGGTGACGCTGATGCCAATTGCCAACCCCACGCCACTCCTCTGTGGACGGACCTGTTTTTTCTAAACATATACTCCGTACGGGGCTATTTGAAATGGCTTATTTATTATATTTTTGTTAGAAAAAATAGAAGTAATTTTAGGTGTATGGCATAATAGGAAAAAGCTCAAAGGCGCGAGTAAAAGGATCTTTGAATAGCCAGAGAAATAGTCTAATTTAAAATTTCTTGCTATTACACAAGACTAGGCACAAGGTCAGAAACAAAGGAGACCCTAATAATTCTACCATTAGCTATTGTTTTACAAACCTAAGGTGATTAACAACCTATACGATTTCTATATAGATAATATTTCCTCCATCCCAAATTATAAGTTGTTTGAGCATTTCTAGATTCATAACTTTTGCTATGTATCTAGATATAACATATATCTAGGTGCGTAGCAAAAGCTATGAATCTAGAAAAGTCAAAACATTTTATTTGGAACGGAGGAAATATCAACTAAGCTATGTCACTAAAGATCAAAGAACTAGCAATGTTGGCTTCCTAGGATGTCAAGTCCTAATATCTCCACTCTATAAAATGAACAACACAAACTAAAGCAAGAGTAAGTGAACAAGTGATACCACACAAGTGAAGACACAAAGATATATTCTCGTGATTCGGTAACTTGTAGATTAACTATGTCCATGTTGAGGTGAGTCGTAAGATCAACCCTTCTCTATCAATACTCAACCCCGCAAGGTTGCCTACTCCACTTGAGAGCTTGATCTTTAAGCCAAGTTGATCACAAGGCACTCTCAACACCTCTATTCCACTAAAGTTGCTCTTTGCATACTTATGTGAGGATGAGCACAAGAGCCACTCACAAATCACCTCTAGTGCACCTCACAATCTTCAATTGAGTTCTCTAGTGGAGTCTTGCTGCACCAAATCATCTATGTGGCGGCTGTAACACCCGGGCTCAGGGCTTAATAGGATTAATAGGATACTCGTACCAACAAGTTGTAACTTCTTTTCTGGAAGCCCATCTCTTAAGAACTCCAAGGTTAAGCGTGCTTGGCCTGGAGCGATGGGTGACCGACCGGGAAGTTCTTCCCGGGTGCGCACGAGTGAGGACAAAGTACGTAGAAAAGACAAGTGTTGGTCTGTGAGGGCAGTCTATATCCTAGTTAAGCTGCCAGATGTAAGCGGGCCCAGCGTCGGAGAGGTGGGACGTTACAGCTGTAACAGAACCGACCAATTATACGAAGTTAAGTAAGAAAATCATCCGCCAGAGCAGACAATTTAGCAAACTTAAGCCCGTATAACCCGGTAGTCCGTGAAATCACGAAGGATTTCAAACCAACTTCCATTCCAGCCAAGATCGTAATAAGTTTAGCGGTCACCATCACATATTACATAAAAGTTTGCATCTCAGATACATCAGAGTTTAAACATAGTTATTACAAAACAAGTTCGAATAAAAGTAGCGGAAGCCATTTGTTCAAACCACACACACTCACACGGAGTTCAAATATAGTGCCAGCGAATGATCATCTCTAACAAAAGCATTAGACACCAAGTAAGGAATGACCATGCCCATGGTCCTAAGCATCACCCATCACAGGATAAAGGCAGTTGATACAGTAGACGTAATACATCTGCCTATCTGCAACAAGTGGGAATAAAACCCTGAGTACGAGAAGGTACTCAGCTAGACTTACCCGACATAACCAAAAATAAGTGACACCAAGGATTATGAAGGCTTTATAGTAGGGTAGCTGACTCATTTGCAAAGAAAACATTTTTAGCATTTCAAGAACCTTTCTAAAGACATTATTGCCAAGTTAATTAATTATAACCTGTCGACTAAATTTGCACCTACGTTAGAGCAAACATGTGATTTAGCCAATAATGATAACCAACGATCATTAACAACTTCCATACTGTCATATTCATTATAACTTTCCAAGTGTTCCATCAACATTACTACGATGAAGTCACTCAAGTCAAGTGCTCACTATCCAGGAGCGATGGCGATTCGAATCGATTCCTAACCAGCTGGTGATTTATTCCTTACACAAACCTCACTCACCTGCTAAAGTGAGATATTGATCACCGAGTCAACTATCCAGGTATCTCGAGTTTGCCAGGAACCACATGTACCCGGGGGCCAACCGACTGCACTTTGGTCTTATCATCTCGCCCCCGTGTCCTACCACACCTGCTCCGACACAGTGCGCTGCGGGCAATCTACTCGGCCCGAATAATCTCCTAGCTTCGCGGTCGGAAGGTACTATATCCGGCCAGCTAAATGTAAGGCATGCGTTCAACATGACTCGAGGCCCAACAACGGTCGGTCCTTAATCGACACAGACAGAAAGCACTACAGTTCAAAACTCTGCAAGTCTCCGTCCGGTCTCAACTTCATTTAACACTTAGTTATACCATGACTTCATAGTCATCCAAGCAGATCCAAGTAACCACCTATAGCTCGTAGGTGACAGAAAATCACCCGACTTCTATCGGTCTAAGCCAGCTAAGCGTTGACTCGACTGCGGGTACGAGGGTAACAAGGATATAGTATAACAAAGGTAAACAAGGATAATGCAGCAACGGTTGCAAACAACTCCTGAACGTAATGCATCAATTAAAGTAAAGCATTTAATTAATAATTGCAAACTGGGAGAAAAATGCTCAAGGGGCTTGTCTCTCTCGGAAGGAGCTCTAGGCGGTGATCGGGCACTCCGGAAGTTCCTCAACGTTTCTCCTCGTCGGGCCGGCACTTCCTGGCCGTTTGCACTCGAGCCGCCTCGGGCTCCTCGGGTATGACGATCGGGTTCTAGGTTTGCGATCCTCAGATGATGCAATGTGCGTAAGTGCTTATGTAATCGATGCATCGAATGAGATGAATACAATGGATATGTTTAAATGCAAGGTAGTCAACATCATCCAAGAACATATACTACGAGCACATGTCATCTACTGCATTCTCTTCTACTACTAATATGTTAAGTCAACACATCTTATTGAATGCTTCAAAGATACACCAAAGCTTCACTAATTTCTTAATCACACTTAAAGCAACACTTGCTTAAACCCTAATTAATAATAGGTTTGAATAGCAACATCTATTTTTATTTCTTAGAAAAATCTTAGAAAATTACTACAGCATAGTACTATCCTAAGTAGTCTACTATCAGATTTTCATGGTATTTGAATGAGTGGATTAGCCTACACAAAAATAACAAGCTATGGCATGATTATGAACATAAAATACTTTGAACTGTGAAAAGTGTCAAACAAACAGAGTTAGTATTTTCCTAGGTTCTTCATAGCATACAATGACTGTACACAAAATTATCACATGCATGTTTTATACAAAGTTTGCTCTCTAGCTAAAATAACAAAAATCAGCCATTAAAGGTACTTGAACTACACCTCAAGATTTTCCCACAGCACATGCATGAAACATATTTTCCTAGAAAGTACATTACATAAGAAGATTAACAAACTTAGAATCATATTTTTCTAAAGCCTATAGATTTTTCTACACATTTTTCAAGTTATCAGCAATATACATGATTAAATAAAGTTCTACAGAAAAGTATCTCAAAAATGACATGCAATAATTTTTCCAAGTAGATCTGATGATAAGGAACCTATACAAATTTATTTCAACAGATTTGGAGCAACTTTGAGTATCCAAACATTTTTCAAATCATTTCTATTTTCAAATAATAAAGAATAATTGAAAACAAATCATCCTATTGCTACTGGGCCAGCCCGCTGGAATCAGCTGGCCCACGGCCACATTTGGCTTGCGCGTCCC